AGCATCCAATATTTATACGGACAAATTTTCGAAACAGTCCTATTTGAACTTTTATTTGTAAAAAACGACCGGTTTCTCAGTTAATTAGAAAAACCGACCTGGTTTCAGCCCTGTTCCTGAAACCAGGTCGGTTTCTGGAATTTTTTTTACGAAACTTCACGGGAGTTCAACTCCCGTAAAGTTTAGCATATTTTTAAACTTCATGGGAGTTGAACTCCCGTGAAGTTTAATTTCTTCAAAAATCTTCACGGGAGTTCAACTCCCGTGAAGATTTTCGTAAACAACAGACTTCATGGGAGTTCAACTCCCGTGAAGTCTGTATTACGATTAAAAACTCCACCGAAGTTGAACTCCCGTGGAGTTTCGGCCTCCATATATAACCGCGCGCGTCTCCTCCGCGTTCTCATTTCTGACGCCGCCGCCCCAAACCCTAGCCCTCTCTCCCTCGTCCCAACCACCACCGCCCTAGGCCATTTCCGACCGCCTCCCCCCATTTCCGACCACCGGAACCGCCATTGTCGCCGGAGTTCGACAGTTTGAAGGTAAAATCCTCGAAAAAAATTTGTTCTCTTAATTTCTTGTATTTTCTCACTATTTCATGATGATTACATGTAAAAAAAATTAGATTTTAGAATTTCATTGTGAATTATTTATGAATTTTGTGAAGAAAACTTAAATAAATTTGTCGATTTAGAGGGGAACTTATTAATAATGTAAAAATTAGTGTTACTACATATGTATGACATCAATTAGATTTTAGAATTTCATTGTGAATTATTTATGACTTTTGTGAAGAAAACTTAAATAAATTTGTCGATTTAGAGGGGAAATTATCAATAATGTAAAAATTAGTGTTACTACATATGTATGACATCAATTAGATTTTAGAATTTCATTGTGAATAATTTATGAAATTTGCTCAGAAAAATTAAATAGAATAATTTATGAAATTTGCTCAGAAAAATTAAATAATTTTGTGGATTTGGAGGTGAAATTATAAAAAAATGTAAAAATTAGTGTTACTACATATGTATGACGGAATGTATATTTTAGAATTTCATTGTGAATAATTTATGAAATTTGCTCAGAAAAATTAAATAATTTTGTGGATTTGGAGGTGAAATTATAAAAAATGTAAAAATTAATGGAACTACATTTGTATGACATCGGTATATGAATTTGGGTAAAATTATGGTTCTCTAAAATTGATATAGAATTTAATGGTAAGTAACAATCAAATTTTGAAGTCTTTTCGTGTAATATTGATCTTGAATGTTTTACTCTTCAGAGGTAATGATGAACGATCGAATCGTAATTTTGTGTTCGTATGATGGGAAGATTAACTACTTAGAAAATAATATGTCTGTTTATGAAAGGGAATGCACCATCATCTTACAGGACGTAGCCGTCATTCTTGGGCTCCGGATCGATGGACCCGCAGTTATGGGCACCGATGATCATAGTTGACCGGAGGTATGTGCTAGGCTTCTTGGCCATGTTCCCGACTTGAGGAGTGGTGCGATGAAGCTATCGTGGCTTCATCAGACATTTCAGGGCGACATACCAGAGGATGCCAGTATGGAGACGCTTCAGTTTCATGCTCGTGCGTACATATTGCACATGATAGGGTGCGTGCTTTTTCCTGATGCGAGCAAGACTCTTGTACATGCACGATGGCTGCCGTTTCTGGAGGATTTTGACGTATGCGGCGCACTATCGTGGGGCAGTACGATGTTGGCATACTTGTATCGAGAACTGGGTAGAGTATCACTGATGCAGAATAAAGAACTCAAGTGATGCTGCACATTGATACAGATTTGGTCATGGGAGCGCATTCATATTGGACGCCCTACTTTACTTGTGCACCGTGAACTACAGGGGTAGTTTCCTTTAGCATACAGGTATAATTGTACACATAAATTTTATTTGTACTGAATTTGTACTTATATATTCTCTATTCTGCATATAGGTATGACGTGCGGTACGCTAAGTACCGATCAACGACGCACCATCGTGAGTTTTACCGAAATGAGCTTGATGGCCTCCAACACGAACAAGTAAATATAAATATCAAGTCGTTATGAATATTATAGTTTTGTTATTGATACTGATAAATGTTTTATTTTATTTTAGTTCAAGTGGAGACACTATACACCGCCGGAGCTCGATATGCATTCTCTTGCACCCATCTGCCGAGATACTCCCGACTTGTGGATAGCTAGAGTTCCATTAATTTGTTGGGAGATCATGGAGATGCATGTCCCTGACCGTGTGCTACGACAGTTTACACTCTCTCAGCATGTGCCAGATCCTGTCGAGCAGATCGATCATCGGCGGCGACCTACTTCACACCATATCGACTGGGCCGTAGTCCGTGCAGCCTACATAGACAGGTGGGCTCACAGGTGGGATTTCATCCAGGATACGAGGCCCACAACTGTTGACTATACCGCATATATGCGTTGGTATTGGGGTATCACACGTAGATGGATCACGCATGACCCACAGCCATCAGCTGGACACATGTCACGCCCACCGACAGACAGTTACATCCCTAGTGGGATGAACGAGAGAGATTACGTAAGTTTCTAAGCTAAATTATAACATTTTTTTATTGAGTTGGTACTTAATAAATTGTTTACCTCACAGGTCTGTGCTTTTGATAGCATTGAGGCTGATATTGATGCGCACATGCCTAAGATTCAAGATCAGGTGGCGTTAGGACTCCTTAGCAGGATCAAGAAGACCATAGTGTAGGTGTTTCATAAGACTCACGTCGACAAGTTCGCAGGCTGTGAGGACAGGTCTTGATTATTTGGGCAGGCGTACACTCGGCACCGACAGCCACGTGATGATGACGCCGGCACTTCGCATGCCGATGGAGCCGNAAGAGAGGGAGAGGAAGGAGAGGAGCTATATTGGGTTGTATTTGAACTTATTTTGTTAAAATTTGTAACTTGTATGAATTTTTAAATACTATACTTTTGTGGATTAATTATAGCTCGATATGTACTCTTTTTTAGTATTGTTTGATTCGTGCCTGTTTAAATCATATATATATATTATAGTAATTGTTGTTAACAGGTAAATAATTATATATATGAGTTAAATAGGTAGATGTATACAAAACATGCACATCACAACAGCTTGTGCATGTTGTGTAAAACCTGCAGCTTCACGGGAGTTTAACTCCCGTGGAGTTGCAGTCTAAATTTCCCAGAGAGCGATTCTCTGGGAAATTTGGCCTGTAACTCCACAGGAGTTGAACTCCCGTGGAGTTTTTAATCGTAATACAGACTTCACGGGAGTTGAACTCCCGTGTAGTCTGTTGTTTACGTAAATCTTCACGGGAGTTGAACTCCCATGAAGAATTTTGAAGAAATTAAACTTCACGGGAGTTCAACTCCCGTGAAGTTTAAAAATATGCTAAACTTCACGGGAGTTGAACTCCCATGAAGTTTCGTAAAAAAATTTTCAGAAACCGACCTGGTTTCAGCGACAGGGCTGAAACCAGGTCGGTTTTTCTAATTAACTGAGAAACCGGTCGTTTTTTGCAAATAAAAGTCCAAATAGAACTGTTTCAAAAATTTGTCCATATTTATACTGGAGTAAGTTAGACTGTAAAATTATAACACTCTAATCTCAATTATAACTTAGAATATACAATGAGGATTCAAGGCTCTTTTTTTTGTGATAATCTATTCTGGAACTGATCCAAGATTCAAGGTCGTGTGAGTCATATTAGAACTTCCCAACGGTTTAGGTCACCCGTGTTGGGTTTTCAAGGCTGCAAGTTTATAAACTAAAAAGTTACACGAGGGTTGATATATAATACATATAGGAGAAATTTTGAAAATCATCCAATTTACAAAAAAATTCACAAAAAACGACCTCTTATAAAAATAATTATCAAAACCGACCTAGTTTTAGCCGTCGGGCTGAAACTGGGTCGGGACGACTGAAACTGGGTCGGGTTTGACCAAAAAAACTATGAAACTTCACGGGACTCGAACTCCCGTGAAGTTTAGCACCGCCTAATGTTAATAGATTAACGTCATTATAGGCTGCTAAACTTCACGGGGCGTTTCATAGTTTTTTTCGTCAAAACCGACACAGTTTTAGACCGACGGCTGAAATTAGGTCGGTTTTTTACAATTATTTTTAGAAGAGGTCTTTTTTTGCGAATTTTTTTTATAAATCGGATGGTTTTCAAAATTTGTTCAATACATATACGTTTTTCACTCCAAAACGCCGATGATGACGGTGGACCAATAAACACACTTTCCTTTTATCCAAAACTACAAGATTCTCAATTAATCTTTGGACCAACTGCAAGAAACAAACTCGGTCTATGTTCTCCTTTGACACTCTTGACCAAATCCAAACACAGGTCTCGTAAAGCAAAGTTGAGCCGCCATTTTCTGCCAATTAATTTGCTGTTCCTTTCTTCTGATCTCTTGCTTTAAACATCACCAAAGGCCAGCCGTCTCCCACAATAAAACCCATGGATCTTCACAAACTAAAGTTCCACGCATTTTCCCAATCCTTTTCTCCCTTGTTTCTAGACCCTGCTGTCTTGCTTTAAAAGAGTTAATTTTATCTTTTAACACAATTTGCCCAAGTGATTCATTAAAAAGTTAAAAACATTAGCATTAGGAGGCTATCCTCACCACTATAACCACAAAGAGTGTTAGAAAAAATCACTCAGGGGGCATTTCGCAAGTACTTTCGCACAAATAGAACAACAGGGGATCCATCAGGAATTAACCCGACATTCTAACATATATTGCCATGAGTTGAGCATTTCAGATTGATACCCAAATGCACCTCACTTCTAGCTGATTCCTATGGTAGTAAATGAGGGATTAATTGTTCTGTCAAGTCTTTGTAGAACACTTTGAAATAAGAATCCAAAATGCTCTACTTCTATGACAAAGAAGCATGGATAAAAAAAATAACATGGCAAACAATCAAACATGCCGAAAAGCTTGCTTCGCCTATGAAAAATGCGCCGCACTGACCAAAAGCACAAAACATGTAATCGATGTTTCATTCTTGAGATTACCTTACGCACCTATATATACATTGAGAACAAACCATCAAAACTATCAAATCCTCTCGGTATGTACACAGTTGATGCTCAATTTACCAAAAAAACCAAACTGGGAATCTATCTACCTCGTCAGACATCTATATCACTTAATCTATCAAAAAGTCAATATTCCAACAGCGATTACCACCATAAATCTGAAGAAAATCTCATTCAAGCTCGTCCTAATGTTCTCCACAAGCACCATCTCCTCATTAGGCTTTTTACCTCTGGCTGATCTCCTACTGATGTCGTAAATAATCTCTCTCAACCGAGTCACAGCACTGGATAGCCAAAGAAGAGCAAGCCCAAAACCAACACTGAACAGCTTCGAAGAAGTCAGGGGTGCCATGTTTCCATTCATTGCTTTGTACGAAACTGTGAACAGAACAGCAAGGCCAGTTCCAGCAATTCCAGCAGAGAATCGGTATAAGAGTTGAGCTAGTTCGGGGCCTGAATCCTTCAAGGAGAGGAATGAAGTTCTGCTTGCACTGTTGTCAAGATAAATATTAAAGAGACAATCACAGGCGTAGAAGTAGTTCTTAGTGAACCTTTCGGCTTCTGGGGTTTTGCTTTGTTTCTTTTTTTGGGGTGACTTGCTCTTGCCAGAGCTGAAACCAAAAGAAGATTGCAAATGTTAAGAAGTATAGAGACAATGGATACAGAAGATCAAACAAAGTGTGTGCAGCACATATATCAGTATTAACCTTAATTAGGCTAGTGGTTCATCAACTCCAAGATGAAAGCAAGATAAATAACTATTTTCATTATCAATCAGTATAAACAGTCCTTTGGTAATTAAAACAAGCCCGATAGCATATTTTTCTGACAGAAAATACTATGATCCACTCACTAGCAGAGAGAAAGAAATGGAATCCCAAATCATATCCACCTTCCATTTCTCCATAGATAACAAGATTCATACATTCTTTGATTTCACTCCTACCTGACACCCAAGACCCTTTTGCAAATTCTTATATGCTCGGGATCACGTACACAGCAATAGTACTCTAAATCTCATGATGCTAGTGTGCTTCAGCAAAGAACAATATTATGTAGGGAGAATGACTTACCCTTTACATGCATAGAAGAATGAAAATAAATAACTCCGTGAAAGCTTAATTAAACTACTAGATTTGTCTTGGTGCCTTAGTTACTCTTAATAAATAGAATCCAACATCATATCTTACAGAAAATGTTAAGACTTTCATGTAACCATCTTACAACCAAAATGCTCCAAAATAGAGAGCTAAGGAACTTTTAATACGCAGGAGTATTTGAAAAAAAAAGAAAAAGAAAAAAAAAAGTTATATGCTTCCACTAACGAGTTAGCACTCTTAACTGAGAGATGAAAGTTTGAAAAAAAACATTTTGGTAAAACTTTTATGAGATAGTAACTTTTCTGTATAAGATTGAAAGAATTTGAGAGCATTCGTAACGAAGAAATAGTGCATACCTCTTTGAAGGACCAACTGTTTGGGTCTCAGACACCGAAGAAGGCGGTTGAGTGTTAGACCGTGCACGTCCACCACGTTTTCTGTTCACACATGCAGATCATATTACTCAAAAATAGTTTTTTTTTTTTTTTTGAAATAGCACAGCAATAAATTTACGGGCAGATAAACTTAGAAATAAGCAAATGCAGAAAAGAAAATAAACAGAGGAACTAGAAATTGGTTTCTAAGATGCAGTGTTTCTCTAGGTTCCACTTACACAAAAGACTTGAAAATAAGAATTGATGTCCCTGGTGCAAGCAAAACCTAGACAAAAATCTCTAACAGTATAAATGCCTCCAGTTATAAAGAGGTGACAGGAGTGATGGCCTGATAGGAATATGGTTAAGATAGAACAAACCAATATCAAAGAAACAAAATAGCTACCAAGATAAGTTACCAATGAACAATCCCAATTATAGTAACTGTTTTCAGATAACAACTCGATCTTATCTAATAAGCAGTAAGAGAGTTAGGGACTCCTTAATATAGTCGAACAGGGAGAATATTGTAAAAGAAAACAATGTTTTACTTCTATCTTCCAGGCAACAAAATAACCAGCAATCAAAGGCTTCTTACAGAACCGAAATTACTGAATATTACTGTTGTTCATAAGACTAGCTAGTCTAAATTTTGAGATTTCAAGTGCAACTTGAGAACTAAGCTTTGTTAAATACAGATGTTAGAAGAAGGCAGACCAAGCCCCAACAAAAGTAAGAAAACAATGTTTTACTTCTATCTTCCAGGCAACAAAATAACCAGCAATCAAAGGCTTCTTACAGAACCGAAATTACTGAATATTACTGTTGTTCATAAGACTAGCTAGTCTAAATTTTGAGATTTCAAGTGCAACTTGAGAACTAAGCTTTGTTAAATACAGATGTTAGAAGAAGGCAGACCAAGCCCCAACAAAAGTAAATGTCACGTGGAAAATTTATAAGAGGGCTCTCTCAGTTTTCAGAACCAACTGAGTTGAAGAGAACACTGGATGCATTTATAGAGTTTATTGCGATAGCATAAAACATCTCTTATAATTATGATGATGTATGGTATTTGAAACTGGTTACTCCCTTATCTAACTCCTTTCCTAGAAAACTGGGCAGCTTATGGAGACCAAAGTTCCCCAAACAGAATTGACCAAACTTTCGTGACCGAGTGTCAACATAACATGACATTAATCCCATATGACTTGAAGCCAAGCCAAGGTAATTATCCATATTTAGATCTAGGATTTTCATCTAATACCTGCATCCAGATATAGAATTCATTGTACATTTTGCATTTATATTAATATTTCATTCAGCACCATTAAGTATTTGTTAAATATTTGATATTACAATGCCTGTTTAATAGTTATCTAATGATTACAAAGAAGTTCTAGATAAATTCTGCTAAACAAAGAGGAAAGAAGATATGCTCTCATTAGTAATCCGACAAGAAAAAGACCTTGGAAAGTTGTCCTCACAACCTAATGGATAACATCACAGACTAGAGTAAACTAAGGCATCAAAATATCATCATGCTACTCTTTAAATAATATATTTTATCTTCCTGTACAAACCATCTAATAAGAGCACATTCAGTGCATTCAGCTGGCATAATGTCTTGATTAGAAAAGCATGTACTTCAGCACCACAGAAGACTAACATAAAAGGGGATTAGTAAATTATACAATAGAGTCTGATAGAATGAGGGAGACAAATAACCCAATCAAGGATGACCATTGCATCAGAATTGCACAAATATCAACAGTGCAGGGTATCAAACAACTTATAACACGGGCCATACCAATTTTTAATGAAAACCAAGATATCGGTGTTGACAGAAAGGATTATAACAGGAGGAAAATTTTAATTCAGAATGAACAATTCTTTTCATCATACCTGGTAAAGTATGGAACTACCATCGCCTTTCTACTTCCATTTGACAAACCCTGAGGCACATCAGTAACAGTTGAAAGTAAATCCTTCATCTCTGCTGCGTTGCCTGTGAACAAGACATGACCATTTGGGTGCTCCGTACTGAATGAAGTATCATACAAGTTCCCAACAGAATAAAAAACAGATTGAGGGACGTAAAGCTTCCGATGATGTATGATCTTCTGCAAGTCATCTGTTTCAATTTTACAGGGACTAAATTCGTCATCCATGTCAATAGCAACTGGTTGAAATCCCATTTCATATAATAAGGTATTATTTAGGCAATTTCCATCTGTTATATTTGAACTGGAAGCGAGAAATTTCTGGATCTTTTCATGTCTAGTGCACTGCTCTGCAACTCCTGAGCTGAAAAGCATCGATTCAGGACATGCATCTGCTTGAAAAACAAATGCATAACATCACTTTCACAAAAAATCCAATTCATTAGAGTAAATCTTCAAGATATGGAGAGATAGGTTATGCTAGCTCCGAATTAAGAAAGGGTTACAACATTTGTTTTAAAAAATAATATAAATTGTACACAATCAATATCATTCTTAATGAAGATCTGGATTAACAACTTCACGCTAATTAAGGTCTCATACTTTCAAAATCTAGGGTTTGACGCTCAATATTACATCACACAACAAAACAAATCATCATATATTTTTCATAAACATCTTCACAACTTTACTAAACAAAAACTAGTCACTATCGACTTACAAAAACTTGATTAAGAAACTAATCCTTAATCAGGAAGAATTACGATCATATTAAATTTAAAAAAAAAACTGAGGGTTATACTCTAGAAAGATTCCTGAATCAAAATTCCTAAATATATAATTTGTCCTTTAGATAAGGCCCATAAAGGTGCAACAAAATTCATATTAAAATAAATTTTCTAACACTTAAAAAGTTGTTCATTTTTTTATTTCTTTTTCTTTTCTTCATCTACCCCTTTGTGATTTCTGGGCGTCACCCTATTAAGTTGGTATAGGTATAGGAGCTTCAACGTTTTCAGCATTTCGGATTGGAACTATTTATAAAAAATAACACTTGAGTCTTAATACAAGCTTATGTCTATCGATTTCTCTAAAAATAAATTGCCAAATCATTTCTTTTACTCCAAACCTCATAATCTGCTTTCTATAATATGTTATTAATCAATATGAGACTGTACTAGTTGTTATTAGCCAATATCGTATCATCAACAACATCAAATGATTTTGGACGGATCGAATCCATTTGATATGATGCGGCTCATATTCAAACCTTGATGATAATATTGTAAATCTTTTCGATCATTCTACCTTAGGAAATCATAATGTATGGTAATATTATTTATTTGATCCTGTATAAAAGCATAAATCATTTATTCTAAAGGTGATAAATGCATCCATGAACAAAAAATTCAACATTTTCCTCCTGCACATCATTTGACGTAAGTTAATCTAGCATGGTGAAGCAACAAACCTTGCATATCAGTAAGCATTGATCTATTTATAACTGGCTTTCTCCTCAGCAGATGATTATCTGGTGATAGGCTTGATATTTTCCATGAATCCTCAAAATGAGGTGTTTCCATGCAGATGGAACCAGAATTAAGTATATTTTGTCTTTTGCCATTACCCGGTGAAAATGCCTGAAACTCCTACATCATAAATCATAAATCAGAAATTGAAAAAAAAAAAGGAAAAGAAAGGGTAATCAACCCAAAGAAGCATGCACATGAAAAGAGAAAACACTAAGATTTATGTCACTGTAATGACTTCAATAGAATGTGCAAAATAATTTGAAAGATAAAATGTAAAAGTCTTCCTTAAGGACCCTTCCAGCATCATAACAAACCTCATATGATCAAGGGGGAATATATCCTCGTCCAAGTTTAGTGTGACTTGGTTATCTACATAAAAGAACACGACCAGTACCATAGCATGGTTTTCTTTTCCTTCTAAACTGGTATGTATGGATTGCTTCATGTCATAAGAAATCGCTCCAAAATATTAAATATTACATAAAGTCAATATTAACTAAAAATGATTAAAAATTAAATAAGCATTGAAACCTGCCGAAAAGCATGTGTTTGCTTTTCTTTCTTTTCTTTTTCTTGCAACGCTAGACCCTTTGATGAAGCGAGGCGTAAGCTTCAAGAGTTTAAGTATTTAAATTTTAAATTTGTAAAAATTATGAACATATAATATATAATGGTATAATAAATTATATATATATATGCACGCACACATACACACTAGATTTTATACACATGCAATGCACGTGGTTAAATATCATGATTAAGTAATTTTGGCTTACTTTCTAAGTAAAATTTGTTCCTCAGTTTCACTTTAATAGTTTGTGCTCACTTTTGTCTGTAAACTTTTATATCGTGATATTTTTATGTTTGTTTACATGGGCTACACCCAATTTAAATTTTCATGTTGATCTTTGAATTGACAAGAAATAAATATAATTTGAAGCTAATTTGAATTTTCATATTATTTCGATCGATATGAAACCAAGCTTTACTTGAGAAAGTACAATGTTGCAAAAAAAAATATTAAAATAGTGTTAGGTGAATATTTAAAACTAATAAGATAAAATTATTGCCTCAAAGTATGCTACAACAATATAAAAGAAAATATGAAGTTTGTTCCTAATCATTGATAGACTTTATAAAAATTATAATTAAAGATTAATATTAACTCTATTATACTTTTATATGATAAAAGTATCCACATAAGCATATAAAAATACTAAAAAAGTTCATGAAATTTTATTCTAAAGATTCCTAATTTCACTCAAAATAATTAAACTATTCTATAATATATTTAGAAAATATTGTCTTTTATTCCTTCTGTTTTTTTTTTAGCTAAGATCAATCATTCTTCACCTTTTTCTTTTTCACGGACAATTCTCGTGTCTTCATCATCTACATCGATTGTGATATCAAGTTGGAATTATATTTTTTATGCTATTATCTTTCCTGGGCTCATTAATCTTTCATCTTCTTGTTTAACTTTACAAAGAAGTCAAATGCATTTCCGATGTTCAACACAAATTGCTTAAAACATAGACTTTTATTTTTTTTATTTCAATGAAAATAAATGTTAATTTCATATATATGAAATTCTTTGTGTTCCTAATTTATCACTTAAATAAGATTAGAAACTACCTCTTTTTTTCTACAATGAATTCTTCTGATATGCATCCAATAAGAGTTTCTATTATATCAATAATATTAACTTTGCTCTATCCCTCTCATCTTTCACAAAGATCTAAACTAAATACTTGTATTTTTCATTACTAATTTGCCTTAAATTATAATATTAATATTTAATGTTTTTAGTATTTGAAGAACAAAGTATGAAATTTATGAATACTTACTAATTTTTTTATATCTTCCGTAGAGAATTCTTCTTTGATTGGAATAAAGTTGTTAAATTATTTTTTAACGCAACTCAGTCAATGCTTCTTTAATAGAAATGCTTTATGTTAATGCTAATTCAAGTAATTTATGGATATTTTATGAATTTTAAATTTATTTCCGTTACTTTCTCATTTGCAATGGAAATAGCTTAATTCTTTTAAAGGGTATCTTTGAACATTCTAATAGTTTCTCTATATATAATTCCTTGTATTCTTTTACCCTATAAATATTATTAAAATCAGAAATTAATACTTTTAAATAGCTTTGATAGAAATGTTTAAAATAGCTTCAAGGGAGTTTCGAACATTCTAATAGCTTCAAGGGATAAATAGCTTCACTCTTGAGTTTCGAAACGTTTACCCTTCACAAAGTTGCAAAGCGAGTTTCGAAGCGTTTACCCTTCACAAAGTTGCAAAGCGAGTTTCAAAAACGCTTTTTCAAATATTGGTACTCTATAAGGTCATCATTCTGATAGAAACTTACCTAATAATGGGGTTTTAAGCATTGATTGGTTTACATTTATGTTTCATTGGTACTAGCCAATTTAGAACTATATCATTAGTTAGATACAACTTCAGCTCCTCTCAAGCTAGAGACAAAAGGAAGCCATTTTGATTAGCTTGATAGGACAACTCAATACCAAATAGAGTTAACAGATGTCAAAAACAAGCACGATGCAATTAGCTCACTTGGATAACAGTTTGGCTCATACACACTAAACCTAATGCACAGAAAATTTTCAAGCGAACTACTCCTTAAATCATGAGCGTGAGATCAAGGGGGAAATATCATGGGTAAATTTCACATAAGCCCCCTCATCTTTGAGGGGTTTTGCGCATAACCCCCTCAACTTTCAGGGGTTTTGCACATAACCCTGGTCAACTTTGTTTATTCCACTTAACCCCCAAACTTTGGGGCGTCTCACATAAGAACAAGAAAATTTTATACCAAAACTTAAAAAAATGTCCAATTTTTAAATACATATATTTGTACGCTCTCTAAATGCGGGAATGAAATGAACTCAATCATCAAAAGTGTCAATACCGAAACGTCTGAGAAGTGCCAGATACAAAATTGAGCCATGAGTGTTCAAACCTTGATCATGCCCATAAAATAGCGGTCTGCCTTTCGAAAACGTAATCTCAGTACGATGGTATATAGGTAGGTACATGAGTAAATTCTAAGAACCCAAGATCACTATGCATCGTAGTTGTAAACACCATAACATTCCAACTTAGGCGCGTATGGGTATCCATCGATAGCGCATATGTTATCAGTTTCAATACAGCATCAAGATCTCCGATTTGGGATTTGGGCACTGACATCTATTACAACATTAAGATTCCCTCATCATCACACAAAATTCTCTACCAGAATCTAAACAAATTCCTTACCCTTTTCGGGGAAATTGAACAATTTACCCACCAAACCTCATAACACGCCTTAAGAACCAAAAGAATAAAATCCCGAAGCCATAACAAGATACAAAAACTGTAAAATCGCAACAAAAAAGACATGGGTTTGTTCTCTGACCTTGGGTGGATGCCTAATAAGGATCTGAAACTGATGGAAAATCCCAGGACGGAAAGAAGCAGAGCCCATGAGAGAGAGCTCTGCCATGAATCTCGAGAACCCAACTTATAGGAAACTGCACCGAAAGGAATAATTAGAAGCCAGCAGGAGGATTGGGATAAGATTTTTAATATGGTTTTGTTTTGATTTTTTTTTGATTTGGGGGATTGAGAAGTTTCTGGATATCTGAGTTGAAGACGAAAAGGATTAGCTTTAATCTCGTGCTTCTGATACGTATATATTTGGTATTTTTCAGTTATTAGTTCAGGGGCCAAATATTTTAGATTTACCCTTTTAAACAACTAGTTGAGATGCACGTACAATACACGTGGTTGAATATCATGAGTTGAAGTGCACGTGGTTGAATATCATGGTTATTTAAATTAATAAAAATAGAGTAAAAAAAAAAAAAGAAAACAAAGTTTTTTGTGGAATTGACCATCAACTCAATAATCTCTCTCTCAAATAAAATATTGTCATTGTTTCATTCAACCCAGATTGTGGCTACGTGATCTATTATTTGTGAGTTATAAACATATTAATTTAGTACAATATCTCTATTTATTAGTATCTTGAAGTCTTCAAAAGATGAGTGATCATTCAATTCGCAAAAGAATTTTGCATATGAATTTACTTGTCATATGTCCATTAAACTTTTAATTGTGATTTGACTCATATTCATGTTAACTTTTTGTTGATGCTTTACTCATATTTATATTACCTAATATTTGCATTTAATTTTATAGCTCATTCTCTGTATCATACAAGTAAAACTGAAAGTATGAAGAATTATTTGCTTACGAAATTAGAATAGTGAGATTATAATATATTTCGTCATGTGCTCTAAATATAAATTTTTTTCTTTGATGCAAGGTCCCTATCAAATATTACCCCAAACAATGTGAATGAAAAATGCTATTATAACTCACTTGCCTAGTACAATTGTATTATATATATGATACATAACTTATCTAGAATATCCATATCTCCTAAGTGGATTTTGATATTGTGAGAATAACATGTTAGAGGCTCGTATTCAAACTTTTTGACCCTATAAAAGATAAAGAATTTGGAGTGTATAGCTTATATATCGAAAAAAGCATATCAATTCATGAAGATATTTTTCTAATAATGATATTATTACAATGATATTACTATTCAATATTAAATTAATTTTATTATATATGATTATATGATCCTTTTTAATAAATTATAAAGTATATATATGAAAACATCGATGCTTATAGCCAATAGTTGGGCTCCACAAAATATGTTAACCTTACATTGTAGTTTTCTATTTGTAGTATTGTTTGTAATGCCATAATATTTCCTCTTTATCTTATTATTCATACTTTTCTGATGTAAGTTCTCTTTTGCTAAACATTCAATTGACTATATATAATTTTTATAATATCAGAGGTTAGAATGTTCTCCTCAATTTAAAAAGTGTTGACATGATTTTCTTAAAAAATATATACACATAGTAACAATAGTATATACTTCAGTGAAGCTCAAACATTGGATTAAAGCCATTTAGAGTGAGGTCATTTCTATGCTAGAATGGTGATATAGTGATTACACAGTCTAAAGGTCAAAGAAAAAAATTTATATAAAGGAAAAGTAATTTAATATATCAAATTAAGAACTAATTTATAAAATATACATGGGCAGTGTAGATAGCTATAGAAAGTAAGTTATATATTTTTATAAAAAATTCATAGTGAGTGACCAACTACAATTATCCTAATTTAAGCATAAATAATTATTATTTTAGTTACTAATTTGATACGCGTAACTATGGAATAAATCTCCAGCAAAAAATAGGAATTGAGATTGTATTATGTTGTAGGTAAATAAATAAATGTTATTAGAGCTCCTATTTATATTAAATTTAAAAGTAATAATTTAAATTATTAAGCAACAAATGTTAGCTCATGTGATAAAGTAAAGTAATCTATGGTCTATATACTTATATAGTCAATCAATCAAACATATTAAAATTATAATGACCACAGTCAAAACTATATGGTGGGTTCACATTAAATATAATTCATAAAAAATAGTATATTAAATTCAAAATCTTTTTAACCACTACATAAATTGTCTGAAAATTTTTGCATATATAAACTATACTACTTAGGAATAGTGATGTGCACACTTAACTATGGTCTAATAATCTTAAGAACGACTTATTTTTCAATATCATCATTAGTTGATGTATATGTACATTACATTAAAAACACAATAAAAATTTAGAAAACTACAAAATAGACACCCTCAAAAGTTTTAAAAAGTGTAAAAAAACACTCTAAATTTTATAATTTACAAATACACAAAATTGTTAAACATTACATTAAAATCAAGAAATTATAAAAAAATTATTGAAAAATTTTAAACTTTGGAGTGGTAATTTGTAATGTACTAAACTTTAAGGGTATTTTTTTTTATAAATTTCAAGTTTAATAGATTTTCAATTAGTTATGTTCTTTTCAAAAAGTTATGGGTAATATTTACCATAAATTTTTTTTCCTAAACCTATATTTTTAAAAGGTGTATGATATTTTTTGCAAAATTTTAATTTTTCAAGGGTTGTTAGTATTGGCCTTCTTGTTTTGATGATGTTTAACAAACAATTTATAACTAATGTTGTTTGTCTAGTGCTTGTATTATCTATTCATTGTAGACAAACAACGTTGTTGGAAGATGGATGGAATAGAGCTTCAACGATGATATCTAAAGGAGGTTAGCGGAATGTCGGGTTGAAGCCTATACAATTCAAGTTAAAGATCAAGTTCAAGCTTCATCCGTAAGTGTACCAAGATAGAGCTTCGTTGAAGATCAAGATTGCTTGGGTAATTTAGTTTAGGAGTTTATATTATGTGTGTTGGTACTTTAAGCTTAATATCATACACACACACACACATTTATTGGTTTCCATGTATATATATAGTTATATATATACATATATGTTTTTGGTTTGATAGTTTTCTAGTTTTACTATGAAACAATTGAATATAATTAGAAAATATATTTTTGTTTCATACTTATATATATGATTTCATCAATATCAATTTTAGTTAGTTCAATGAAATCATGTTTTAGTGCATTATATGTGTATTTTGATAAAATATTACATTTATTATTTATAGACTTCATAACAATAGTTTACATCCTTCTTCAAGTCTATAAAATCATTTTGTAAAGTTTCAAAAGTTGGTTTATGTCAAAACATCAAAATTCAAGTATCTCATTTTTTCATGTTTTGGACTATTTTGTAAAATGATAATATTTTTCATTTGGGAGGTCCTTTCTGATAACCAGTCATTGTAGCATGTTTATTATCATGTCTACAATCATTTCCTAAAGTTTTACATTTTTTGGAATTTGTTTGATATTTTTAAACAACATTTTAAAATCAGCAAAACTGTTTTTGAATATGTCAGTTTTCGGTCGACCGAACTGGTCGACCGAACCTGAGTTCTTGTGTTCACTGGGCGACAGAAAGTTCATCGGTCGACCACTGCGGTCGACCGAGAGCTTCCTTCGGTCGATCGCACCGGTCGACCGGATAAGTCAGCTGGTGTTTTTCTCGTGTTTGACCTGGATAGCGGTCGACCGAAATTTCCCGTCGGTTCGACGATGTTTCTGTCGTCGACCAGCGAATTTCCCTTGGGTCGCCGCTGCCGCCTCGTTCTGCACTGTGTCCAACGGCGATTTTTTACAGTTGCCTGGTGTTTTTGATTCTTTTGTTTGCGGAGTTTGGTAACTGAAGTATTTACTTTGGATGGAGATACTCTGATCAGAAATCCACTAAATTTATTCGAAACAATCCCTGCTAATCTCTTTTCAAGTAATCAAGAAGTGTTTTAAACAAAGTTTTTAAACAAGGTTTAGGCGTTTACTATTTGTGGTAAAGGATTATGGGATGGGGCAAGCTCGTTTATTCAGGGAGCTTCTCACTGTTTGAAACCATAAGGATATGGAAGTTCACTGCTCTAAATTTGAGGGATCATCTCTCAATCCCTCTTCATCCTTTCTTCTATGTGTTTATAGAGAATTTTTAAGCTCTTATCATCTAGAATTCTTATTGATTTCATAATTCTTACTATTGCTAGTTGCCATTTGAGTTAGATTTTTATTTTACTCATTTTACGACAACACCCACATTGAGCTTATTGTATCTTTCATACGATCAGTCATAAATTGGAAAGTGGGACGTGGTTGGTGAGAATGTAACTTTGAGATTTTGTTGCTTAATGAGTCTTTCATCACATAGTGGAACAATCATTGTGATATGTCTGTGCTTATTTTTGAGAGATGCACTTTGTTTAATACACTGGTACAGCCGAAGTGAGGGAGTTGTGTGGTTGCAGAGTCCGCGGCGATTCGTCCAAGAGGAGTGGCAAATATGATGTAACAAATTCTTTCAGCAGGATTGTTTCATATTCAGATTTCGCAAATAATATTGAAATTCCAAATTTAGTTTCTTCAAATTTTATACTTTTAGTTTGTTTGACGCTCACTCTAGGGAGGAGGGGTATACGGAGCACTTGAGGAGACCACGGCTTAGGTCCAACACTTTTTAGTGGGTGTAGAGTGTGATTGTTGAAGAGTGGGGATGGGTTAGAGTTTCCGTAGTCGTAGGGATTAAACCAGGGTGGTCAATGTCAAAGATTAGTAACTTATAGATGAAAAATTAAGGAAAAATTGTTCGGCTTTCCAAACCGGGATGGATATTTAGTGGGTGTTTTTCCCTCCCGGGGTCTGTGAGCCCTTATGCTAACAAAACATAAATTAATCACGATATATATTAAAATGTTATTACAGACAAACAGTGAGCACAAAACTCATTAAACGTGAAACGGAGGAACAACATTTTACTTAGAAAGTAATGCCAAAAATTACTTAATTTCATCGATATTTAACCACGTGCTTGGAATGCTGTATAAAATCTATGTTGTGTATCTCAGTTTTAATTTCCGCGTTTTAGTGGGGAGCGGAGAGTAGGACGGAAAGTCCGAACTCGTGATCATATTTGCCTTTTTTGAGTGTGCTTTTGGCGTTCTCATTTGTGCTAGTAGTGTTCATTATCTTTTATATCGCCTTTTGGTTCAGTTCTCTTTTGGGAGTCATAGTTATCCATATTCTTGTTTATTCTGTGGTCTGCTGTTATATCACCCTTGGGCAGTAT